GTTATGTCCATACATTTTGTCTGAAATGTGAAGGGAGGCTTGAAAAGTGTTTGCATGTGTGTGATGTGTTAAAACAGCAGATTTTGCATTTGTAATTGTTGATGTTTCATTGATCCCATCCTGTTGCCTTGTGACCATGTTGTCAGGGGCTTCTGGGTAGTCTTGCCCATGTGCGTGCGCACACAGCTAAGATGGCGGCTTCCTAGTGGCCTGTTTCTTTCTGGATCAGTGTCACTTAGAATATAACATCAAACCAAAGACACATTGAAACCACACTCTGGCTTTCTTTGCTGCTGCGTAATCTGCCTTACATTGAGAGTGAAAGACAGAATTGTTGGTTTTCAAACTTCTGAATAAGATGAAAACATGATAGCAGTGTTGATTTAATGCCAGGTCTTCTTCCTTTTTCTACTGTGAGGAACTTTAATAATGCAAAGAAGAAAGATGGAATTTGCCAGCAGTAGTCAATCTGTGCTGACCGTATAATCCTGAGGAAGCCAGTAAAAGCCTTTTTGTCTGCTCATAAAGCAATTCAGTCTCCAATAACCCGCTGTTAATACATAGAGAATCAGGTGCTTCTATCAATCATAAACACAATGTAATGGACAATCTCCTCAGCAATAACTGGAACACTTTAACCCGGCAGGATGGCGCTGTTACCCAATCAAATCTTCGCTCTCTACCTCCCTGTGCATCTCCGACTTTATAACCTTTGACCAGGCGTTTCGCGATATGATTGTCTGTCTTTCCCCTAGCTACTAGCTGTTCCTGCTGTTCCACAGATTAGTTACAATTTTCTTTCTAACAATCTAGTTTAATAATAACTGAGACGTCAACTTGAAGTCTTTAGGCTGTCTCTGAGTAAAGGCTGTGATTTGTGTTTGTCACAGTTAATCATCTACAGGTTGCTGCCTCAGTTTTTTTGCTTGCTCTCTCTTTCACACACACACACACACACACACACACACACACACACACGCACACTGACTATTCTCATTTCTTTATATTATGCAAGGGAAGAGAGGTTATAACAGTCCCT